CTCGACATTTTTATAAACAAGATTCTTACAAAAAAAAAAGAGTGCACTCCATCATTGGGTCAAACATTTTGTATTCATGAGTTACAGCTTCAGATTCAAATATTGATTTTTGTATGCATTTTTATATCTAACAATTTTTAACAAGATAACAAATCATTCAGTTATATTTCTAAATTATTTCTAAAAGTTTTGTCACAATACGAACAATATCAAATGATAAGTTAACTTACCCTGTCTCGCTGTATTCCTCCGGCGTTTGCACTGTTGATTACGTAGATAAAAGCGAACGCCTCCGGAAGGTACGTTTTTACTATGTCATCCATGATGTCGGATTCACCAACACCAGGACTGTCGACTATAACGATTCCTTGCTGAAAAGTGAAAAATGGGAGATATTTGTGAGAGAGAAACAGCAGCATACCATATGTATGAGCAATAAAGAGTCATAATACTGTGGGTTTCGCGCTAACGGGTAGCCTTCCTATAGCCGATGAAGCGGACGAACTCGGACCGTCTGATAAACTCAGTTTAGCTAACGGGATAACTACAGACAATTTTCACCCCTTGGCCTTTACAACTCTGTGCTCTATTCATTGTAGAACTAGAAGTTTTGGAAATTAATGAATTTTGAAACAACTTCAGGTAGTATATATAGGCTCTCTCGCTCTCATTACATACAGTGGCCAATAATTACAGATAGCTACAATACGTGGTGTAGTCAAATACAGATACATCACAGAGCATAGCATTAACTTCTTCAAGCATAGAGAGCGTGAATTTTATAATTAAACCTTTAACAGCAAAACATTGCCTCGCCTCTCGCAAAGATAATTTGAAGATAATTGGAGGCGGCGTACGCGCTTGGCGAGTGGTTTAGGGCGCTGGATTTGAAATATGGAGGTCCCTGGTTCAAATCCACCACCCTGACACTAGCTGGACTTGTTCTTGGTAGTCCAGTTGGTTGGGCGCCAGACCGCAGAGCGGGAAATCGCGGGTTCGAATCCCGGCAGGACCACCAGCCAGGGTCTTAAAATAACTGGAAAGATCATGCTGGCTGTGCTCAACACTTTATCTCAGTTCAGGTGATCGCTTCATTAGGCGGTGACGTTAAACCGTTGGCCTTATCTCCTACACCTTCTCATATAAATTAGTAGGGGACGTTAAAGAAACCATACCACTGTTTGAAAAGAGTAGGGGACCCCGGTGTTGTGGTCTGGCCTAATTCACATTGTTCTTTCATCTCATATCTCATGGGTGGGGTGGGGTGGATGAGATCATAAATGGACTGATAGCGGCTGCCAGAGGCGCAAGCTGACGTCCGATCTCATCCTTCACTGATGTAAAACAGACATGTATGTTTGTCTGTTATTTCATTACATTACATTACATCACATTGCATTGCAATGCAATGCACAATGCAATGTAATGCATTGCATTACATTACATTACAGTCCCGAGTTCACTGGACAGCCTCCAGCCAGTTGGGATTTTAAAAACGTTGATGTTCTATTTACAAAATGTTTTTGTTGATTTACAGTTTCCACGAGTAGCACAGTCGTGCTAAATCCACTGACACTTAGATAAAGTCATTTATTGTCATTTGTTTTTATTATAAATTGTATAAGGTATTTACTTATCACCAACCTTCAGCAGGCTGTGTGGCCAATATAGTTCAATCTTCTTGTAATCCGACCCTTTCTCTCGATCACTCTTTACGTGGACAAAGGAAGAGATCTGTTGGAGGTAGTTTTGTTTGAGAGGTTTCCATTGACTGACTAAGCAAGATAGTCTTCTCGGGTAGTTCTTTGTCTTTAAAGTGTGCCACTAATTTCGGCGTAGCTCCGTACTTTAGCTCACAAATGGTGGACGTTGTGCTGAGCATGGAGGAAGGAAGAAGCTGCTCTCCTAGAATCAGATTCAGCAAGGTACTCTTTCCAGAACTTGTCTCACCTGGGTATAAGAAACTCTTACTCAGTTTATAATACAGGCTGGGAATTTCTGAAAAGGTTAATGGTTAGAACGAGCTGTATTTATCCCAAATACCACCGAAATACCTACATGTAGAAATTACAGTTTCCAAATATGGGAAGAGTAACAATTGAAGATGGCTGACATTTATATAGTTTAGGGTGTGGACAAATTAAAGTGAGCATTTCAACGAGATTATCTGTCAAAGTGTACAAAAACCTACGGATATTGAAGGCAAAAAACGTTTGTGTGGTTGCAACTGAGCTGAAAAATCACTTCATTGCTTAAACGTTTCTGAGGAAGCTTCAACGATATCTCGGTGAATCGATCAGCTACGATCGTCGTGTCGTAGTCAGCTATTCGGGCAGGATATATATATTTATATAACCAAATAATAGCATAGAATAGAATAGAATTGTACGTGTTATATGGTAATAATACCGCGAGCAATATCTCAAAATTGTTCGATATTTTACTCGCCGCTTAACAGCTAATGCTACATGTATTTATACCATTACAAAAACTGAACTTCGATACAATTATGTCAGAGCCACTACTATAACCGGGCCATTCTGGCACTTAGGCAACGAAAACTAAACCACCTGGCAGAACTGGAAACAAAGAATCCCAACTTCAGTTTTTTGAGCCAATTAGCTTTTAGTGCAATCTTGCAATGCAACGCGCGCTTCAACTTGGAATTGAAAATTCTGTATATTCTGCTCTGCAATGTGTGATTGGGTTTTATTGTCTAAGTGGCCCTGGTTACCACTTACATTGGTCACACTGTAATAGCAAAGCAAAACAGACTGGACACGATCGAGTAGAGACAGTGTGGCAGGCGCGCTTTTTTGGCGCGAAACTCTGAGTGATACTGACAATTCCTTTCTTTTAGATAAATTTATCTGCCTGAGTATGCACGATAGCAGTTCATGTATTGTTACCTTAAGAACCCACCTGCCACAAGTACAATGTATTCTTTCTGTTTTAGGTTCCGTTTGTTGAAAGCCATTTTGTCTTTGAGGTTTCCTATACCTTGCTCCAAAACCGACTGAACCTTGTCATCCATACTGTGCAAACAATCCTCCGTATCTTCGTAGAATTTGTGCAAGGCTGCTCGTTTTCTCTCATCGTCCTGCTTGGCATCTGTCAACACCGAAAAAGCCTGATTGAAGAGAAACATACCAAGAGTTAACGGTGCTCACCTCACTCACCTCCACTCTTATAGCTTCGTGCTCTGTTGCCTGTACGGCCTTCGCGCTCTTCCGCCGGCTTGAAAAGCGATTCTGGCTTCGGTAATACTTGTTTTTACATGGAAGGGTCATTAGCCTGCAATGCAGGTGGTTTGTGGCCTTGCGATCGAGTGTTTAGCAGCCATCTTGGATTCGCAAAAAGTGGAGAGTTGGGGCGAGTGAAAGAGGGCGAGGAAGGGGGCGAGGTAGGGTGGGGAGGGGTCAGTATTATTCGCCACCCTCCCTCTCCCCCATCCCTCGTCTTTCTGCCTGACTCCCACTCCCTTCGCCCTTGTTTTGCACTCTCCCCAAGCCTCCAATGTTTTCCTAATCCAAGATGGCGGCGTATAAGCACTCGATGGAATATTCAGCGCTCGTTCGCCCAAAATACGCATGATTTGCAGGCTAACGGATCATTAGCGCTTAGCCCAACCCAAGCTGGAGGACCTGCTGCTGTATTCGTCAGTCTGGCCCTCTGGCTGAGGCCAGCACGGTTGAACCTACCAGGGCAAAAGCCCTAGCTGTCCTAGCTGGTATAGATTCCAAGACCATTAAGGAACGCAAACCTCCCCACCACTACATGGACAGCACACAGGGAGGAGTAATTACCTAAAGGGAACATATAAGCAAGAGCTAACGGACCACACCGTCGATGCTAATACACTCTTTGTTTTATAAGAATATATATTTTCATGCCCAAAGGCGTCGAATATTCTTATTTTTCTCCATAGGCATGAAAATACCCAGTTTTTAACATTCTTAGATTACACAGCATAGTACATGTGTATTTTAGTAAAATATCACTATATGCCTAATGTATTACTTTTGTATCTTTCATCATTTGTCTACACTTAAATCATACGTGATACATGTACATTCATTCATGTATCGTTTTAATAATTTGTTATATAGTTTCGTTTTGTGAACTCGAGTTAATTTAAGAAAAAGTTTTTGCCATATCTTTCAATTATATAATAAAGTTAATTTCAAAACATGTGATTTTATTGTATTTTAATTTCTATCAACATGCGAAAAAAGTTATTAACTAAATTCTCAGATTGGGTATACACTTAGGTCTTTCTAGCATATAGCCTCGATATTCTTATAAACAAGATTCTTATAAAAAGAAAAGAGTGTATTGATATTCAGCTTGCACGCCCAAAAAGGCGTCGATTCTACGTTAATTTTGGTCTCCATGCCATGAAGTACCCATTTTTCTCGCCCAAAAGCACACTGAAAACATGATTGTGTGACGTCGCGACGTGTACCTTGATAGCTTGATAAGACAAGTATACAACAAGATTTGTGCAACGCCATACAAAAATCAGCATCTCCATCTAATAATTAGTACAATAATGATAACTCTCCCGCAAATTTAACAAACCTTCGTGACAGTCGAAAACAGTGCAGATTGAGTTACATTTTCATCTTTATAAGATCACGCGGTATTAAAATGTATCGCAATCCATTGGAAGCCGGAAGTGGCGCATGGGACAACTACTAACAGGTTTTCTCCATTCCTATCGGTCGGTTTATACCTTTAGCAAATAGATCTTACTGTACGCGCTGTTATATTATTTGACCATAAAACGTCTATGGTTGATTGTGTCAATGTAAGGGTCACTCGAGACAATTCATCATTTATATTCACGGAAGTTATGGCTGCTTTTCTGAGAAAACAAGGAACACTAAACCTGCGCGCTATGATGGACAACGTTCCGTTGTATCTTTTTTATGGAATATAACAAAAATGAGTTCAAGAAAGGAAGGATAAAACCCGGGATAAAAGCATATTCCAATTTTCATTCTCTAATTACGGTTCTGAATATTATTTCCGTCTTGTTTAAAATCGACTGGTGTGCATTCAAGCGTACAGTCATAGAATAGCAAAAGTCATGACATATTCAAATTTCATAACCTAAATTTCTAAATTAATGTTTTATTCTTGAACAATCTTTATGTATTCATTGATATCCAACTGTGAAATAAACTTGAGAAAATAATAACTATACTATTACAGAGATTATACAGACTGGTTTTACACCTCAAGGAGCGCATTCTCGAACGTTCAGCAGGTAGTATCAGGTAGTCTCGAAGTAATCACATCTTCAGTTTACATTTCTTGCTGTTATTTAAATATGAAATTTCGCCTACATTTAAAACTGAAATAACATCTTTAGATACACCAACATTGGCTAGTAAACTGGCTAGTGATATCAGATGATTTCTGACACATTAAAGCTGGAATTGTATTGGATCGCGAATTGACAAACTCAGTCGCGCGTCAGTATTAGTAGCTATCAGTGTTGCGACATTGACACTGCATATTGAAAGATATTAAAGGTCTCAGTTATGGTGACAGTACACAACCCGATATATTCTCACCTCCTTTGCCGTCCAACTGGATTTCTTCTGTGACATTTTCAGTGTTTCTTTCACCTTTTCCTTCATCTCGTCCAATGTTCGAAGTCCTTTAGACGAAACACCCATCACTGTCATTGTCCTGACCATATCCATGATATCGTCGATTTTGTCGATGTCTGCCGCCTCAGACATGTTGCAAAAAGATAAATTTAATCCAAACTAAATGTATCAAAGAAGCACACTGCCCTGATAACCGCGAGGAGGCGTCAGAGTCGAGGTTTGTACCATCCTAACTCCATTTAACCATCGTATGCATGGACCTTTGTAACATTCCCTCTCATTGGCTGAGCCATCGTTAGTAATGTGACAGATCACGCAACATTTGTCACAAATTTGCCTTATTTGTCCGCCGTACCCTTTCATAACAATGTGTCATAAAACAATTTTTAGCAAC